AGCAGAGCCTCGTCGATCCCGCTGTACTTGGACTCGCGCTTGCGCTTGCGCTCCCGGTTGGCTGTGCCACTGCACCAGTCCGCCAGCAGCTTCTCCTTATTTTTGCAGATGCGTGAGATCTGGGGCTGGGAGACCTGAAAGCGCCGGGCCACCTCCGACTGGGACATTTTAGATTCATCCAGTAGTTCCAGCACCTGAATCTTCTCAGCCAGGGACAGAGCATGAAGTTTCTTCTTGCTGCTTAGCTCCATGGCTTCTCCTGTGGGGGAATGAGAGAATGAGAGGGTACAGGAGGCTGACGTTGGGAGGGATGGGAGAGGAACACTAGGGCTAGAAGAGAACACAGGAGGACAAGGAAATGGGCGCAGCACCAGAGAGCCTGCACCAGCTGAAAGGAAGGGAAATGGGTAGGCCGAGGGAGGAGAGGGCTGGGTGCTGAACTTGGATGCCTGAACAGAGCTGGGAGTGGGGATGGTGTTCTGGTCAGAGGAAGAGGGGAGTATGGGCTGGGGGTTGGCATCATTGGGAGAGAAGGATGAGGAGTTGAGGGGGCAACTTGAAGAGACAACAAAGGAGTATAGGTTGGGAAGGGCCTGGGGCTGAGTGGGGCAGGTGCAGGGGACAATCAGGGCTCAGAGGGAAGATGGGGAAGATGGCCTGGACTGGATTTAGATGAGGGGGAGCAGAGTGGTGGAGTGAATGAACAGAGTTAACAGGTGTACAGATGACAATGGGAAACTGATAGGGTCTGCAGGAGCCAGTCTAATTTAATGCTGGGTCCTGTGCGGTGAGGGAGGGTAAAGCTGGGTCAGGATTCAGCCTCGAGCGGGAGGAGGAGGGCAGGGCTGAGAGGGCAGGTGCACAGAGGGCAGGTGCACAGGCGACAAAGGGCAGGAGGGGTGAGGAGGCTGAGGCCAGCGAGACGGGGCGGGGTGTCCTCGGCGGGAAGAGTGGGTGGCTTGGGAGGGGTACAGAGCACGGAGACGAGCGCCCGGGACTCACGCAGGCCGGGAGCTGGGCTCTGCGTCTTGGCTGGCCTCCCCT